CTCAATACTACAGTTGATTTGATTGTTACAAATAGAAGCAAAAAAAGGTGTACATGTGAACATTTCCAGACGTCATCAGGTTCAGATTTATGTGTGTCTAGTTATCTACTTGTCAAAATGTCATTAAGTCTATTTGTAAAAATGTGTTGACACTGTCACAGCTGTACTCAAGTATTACACTGAAAAAAAAATCAATGAGAATTAAAATGTGACATTTTCTTACATCCAAAACATTTATTTAAAGTTGATAAATTTAATGGCAGGCTGCCATGATGGAATATGTAAATTTTGAGAAGAGTTTAGGCTTATAAAGTTTGTTTCACATTGTGTTGTCTGAGTACAATAGCTTATCTTGAAGGATGTCGAGCAGATTTAATTTCACGCTATCCCCCACTCCCAAAAACATCAGTCTGATTACATGAAAGTAAATTATTAAACTTAGCTAGTTGCATATCTCAGTGGTTGTTGTAGTTACACGGTCGAATGCCACAACCTAAGAAAGAAAGAATTTCACATTCTCCTCCACATCCGCCAGCTTGTCAGTGCCATGAGCTTCCTCTTTTTAAGTGCTGGAACAGTTCGTCGATTCTTCTTTTTAACTGAAATGTGTTCTTCTCCGCACTCGGAAGCATTTTAATGTCTTGACTCATTAGCTTCAGTAGTTCTGAAGGTTTCGACAGTCAATGATGGTCTGCAGCTGTGTCAAGATCTCAGTCTTGTCGCAATTTGTCAGCTGGTCGTTAAAGTTGAGGTCCAATTTCCTAAAAAAAACTTAATCTGAATTAATAAATTTAGGTTCAATGTTACGTGAGAGGGCTTCAAGACTTCATCGGTTCTTTTAAAAATATTTTTGTTGTGACGTCATGGGCGCAAAGTCGTGTTTAAGTGTTGCTTACTCTGATGTTATTTTCGCTTTCAACTTTTAAGCATGTTGTCTCTGGTGCTGCGAGCCTCGGCAAAATACCATCTTGCGTGTTCCTTCTTTGACCATTGAATATTCTCCACGTGTTTTAATAATTCTAAGAATTCAACATCTCTGTCTCCCTTGTATTCAGAGTTATTATGGAATAAAACTGCTGAAGATCTACATTGCAGAAGTAAGTTTTTAAGATCACCCTTTAAGTCTTCGCACCATTTCAAAAACTGTTCTTAAATTTTTTTCAGGATCATCATTAATATCTTTGGCTGTGTGAAAAGTGTTTCCATGTGTAAATAATAAAATTGTGAAATGAAAAAAGGCATTACCAAAAATATAACATGGTTATTACTTTTTTTGTCGTCATCGGAATATCCCTCAACATAATTCATTACAATTATAATTGCATGAAATCATGTTTCTAATATTTTGAAAGTGTAATCGATGACCTTCCTAGCTAAATAGCATTTTTGACTTCACCCACTGAGGTCTCCATAAGTCCTGGAGTATCAACCAGAGTTATTTTCTTTTCCCATTAAAATGTATTGCAAGATTTCACCCGCCGTGTGTTGGATGTAGTTCCATCAAATTGTCTGAACACTTGATCCCCAGCGACGGCATTTCCTGAAGAACTTTTTCCACTTCCGCTTTTGCCAATGAGGATTTTTTTTGGGGGGGGGGGGGTTCTGTATAATTATCTTTACATTGATCATGTCACTATAGTTCACAATTAGCACCACCTGTATGGAAATTTGGTTAACAAGTTAAGAAACTCAGTAGTTAAAACAAAGTAGAATTCCATTACATTACAATGGTAACCTTTTCTCTCTAATTTATGCAAAGCCTTTTTTTATATTAAACTATTCACTAACCCAAATTACTAACAAAAGTTAAATGATAAGCACGACTTACAATGGGACCCACTAACATTACATTAGATAAGACTGTGTTTGAAGTATACCTATTAGCCCCAGTGGAACGATCAGAAACGATTTTCAGATAAACTTTATAGCAGACCATTACAGTACCAGTGATGTGGACTTGACATAACTCTAGTGGACAAAAAAAGTTAGGACAAAATAAATGCGTTTAGTAAACCATTAGCTGGAAAGTTTAAAACTGCAATTAGTGGTGAACCAACTTAACACGAGGTAAATGGTAAGTCATGTCAAAGACGAGAAAATAATAACATTAAAATTAAAATCAAACATTTTATAGAGTGTAAATATGATATGATAATTGAAAAATTGGGTACTTGATGGATTCGATTCTTGAGAGATTGTATATATGAGAGATTGAATGCGAGAGGTTGGATACTTAAGAGAGTGGATTCTAGGGAGAGTGGATAATATTACGATCCTCATTTGCTTGTGCTGACCATACGTGTCAAAGACGAGAAGATAATTCCATTAAAATGAAAACCAAACATTTGATAGAGTGCATATATGACTGATAGGATAATTGAGAGAGTGTGTACGTGATGGATTAATCAAATTAGTCATCAACATCAAATAACCCACAATTTTCCTGGAAAATCAATTTACTCGCATTTGTAACACAATCTATTTACAATAACAACTGTTTTTTTTTAAAACTTGACACGTCACTGCAGAAGGCTGTATTTTCATTGTTGCGTGTGTTACTTTAAGGCATCTATCATAAGTTGAGTACCCATGTTTCCTTGCGAGCACAGAGATAACAAAAGTGTATTAGCTGCATTGTAGTAAGTAAGGTGGAGTTCCGCAGGCGGTATGCCATAACGTTAAATCCCGACAACTTCTGCGGCGTGGAACGCGTAAAGAAGATATTTAAGACACAAACAACATTGCTTATCATCGGCTGCGTCCTGGTCTATTTCCTGTCGTCTTCATCAAGGCTTGCTAATGGATCAAATTTGCAAAAAATAATATAGTGGTGCTGATAAAATGAGCAAATCTCTCTAAATTTAAACAAAAATAAAAATCAATTCAAGGCTAGTACTTAAGCTGAAAATGGCTTTGGTCATCTTTGCATTACGATTCTTTCTCTTTTGCTGCTTTCTCCTTTGCTTTTCTCTCTTTAAAGATAGTTTTTTTTGAGAAAATGTTCCGTAACTGCTGGCTATAACTAGAGTAATCCTTTTAGACACACCTGGAATGAGGTATTGGGTGAGAACTCAATCTAACCAAATGGCAAACAATAACTTATCATTTTGTCTTCAGTTGACACTATGGGAAACAACAATATATAAATATTTTGGAGGTCACACTAATGAGTACATTTGACTTAATTAAATCCTATTACTTACTTGGCTTAAAGATATTTTTTTTTACTTTATTAGATACTTTGATTATAAGCAAACTTAATTAAAACCTTAAAGTCATTTATAGTGTAAACACTACACAATTTGCACAATAATATGACATTAGATATTTTTCTAAATTACTATCAAGAACATAACTAAACAATTTTATGAACACACAAAATTTAAAAAAAAAACATTATTGTTGTAATGGCACTTAATTATTCAATCTAATAGCAAGTGTTTACAAGCTTAGCTTAAACTTAAAATATCATGTTGAATACATTTTTCAATGCGACATTTAATTTCTTTGTTACAATTAAAAGTCACAGAGTGCCAATGTGAACATATCCCGATGTCATCATGTTTACATGTTATCATGTTCAGATTTCATCATGTTCAGATGACATCATTTCCAGACCTCACCAAATCAAGACCCCATCATGGCCAGACGTAACAAAGTTCAGATGTCATAATGTCCGGATGTTAGTGTGTCTAGTTATCTACTTGTCCAAATGTTTCTTGTCCATTTTTTAAAAATGTCATGACACTATCAACTGTACTCTTGCATTTCACTGAAAAATCAAGGAGACGAAAAAATATTGACATTTTGTAACATCAAAAATATTTATTTAAAGTTGATAACTTTAATGGCTGACTGAAGTGATGGAATTATTCAAATGTTGGAAGAATTCAGTTTTATAAAAACTGTTTATATTTAAGTTGCTAAATATATATATATTTTTTTTAAAATTATCTCGACAGAATGCTAAGCCGATTTGATTTCAAATTGTCCATCACTCCCAAAAACATCACTCAAGTTACATGGAAGTCAATTCTTAAACTTACTTAGTTGGGTATCTCAATGGTTGTCAAATGACACAACCTCAGACAGAAATAATGTCACCATCTCCTTCTCATCCTCTAGCTTGCCAGTGCCATGTGCTTCCTCTTCGATGTGCTGCAACAGTTCGTTTATTCTTCTTCTTAACTGAAATTTGTGTTTCTCCGGACTCAGAAGTATTTCAACATCTTGACTCAGTAGCTTCAGTTTCTGAAGGCTTGGACAGTCAATGATTGTCTGCAGCTGATTTAAGATATTGAACTTCTCTCCATTTGTGAGGTTGTCGTTAAAGTTAGTGACCAAATTACTGACTGCATTAAAAACTTGACTCGAATTAGGAAATGGTGTTACATTGTTATTTGAGAGAGCCGCAAAGACCTCATTAGCTCTTTCAATAATTATTCCTCGCTGTGACCTCATGAGCTCAAAGTCGTGTCTTAGTGTTTGTAACTCTGAATTGATTTTAGCTTTCAGCTCTCTGAGACATGTCGTTAAAATTAATTTATCTCTGGTCCTGTAGGCCTCAGCGAAATTCCGTCTGGTGTATTCCTTATTTAAGCGTTTAATAGATTCCGCATGTCTCAATAGCACTGAGAATTCAACATCTCTGTCTCCACGGTAACCAGGGTTATTATGGAATAACACTGCTCTATAATTGCATTGCTGAAGTAATACTCTGAGATTACCATGTATTTGATTGCACCAATCTGAGAAAAGATCTTTGCTTTCTCTAGGATTATCTTGAGTATGATGATCTTGGTCAAAATTATCTCCATGTGTAAATAATAGAATTGTGAAATTAAAAAATGCAGTACCAAAAATCTCTTTTAACATGGTAATTACTTTTTGGTCTTCATTGGAAAATCTCTCAATATAATTCAATACAATTATAATTGCATGAAATCCTGTTTCTGATAATTTGAAAGCGTCTTCTATGACCTTCCTGGCAAAACAGCATTGTTCGATTTCATCCATTGTGGTTTCCAGAAGTCCTGGGGTATCAACCAGTGTTAAATGTCTTCCCCATCGAAATTTAGTGCAAGATTTCACCCGCCGTGTGCTGGATGTAGTTCCATCAAATGGTCTGAACACTTGCTCCCCAGCGATGGCATTTCCTGAAGAGCTTTTTCCACTTCCGCTTTTGCCAATGAGGAGAAGATTTAATTTTGAATCAGAAGCACCCATTTTTTATTTTTAATAATTCACTTGACATTGAACATGTGACGACATCTCCAATAGCGCCACCTGTGTCGACATATTGTTAGCAAGAAATGAAACTCAGTAGTTAAAGCTAAGTAAAGTTCCATTACATTAAAATAGTAACATATTCTCTATATATGATGCAAACATTTTTTTTTATATTTAACTATTTACTGAGACAAATTACTAGGAATAGTTAAATGACACACATGACTTAAAATGGGCCCACTTACTTTACATTTGACAAACAGTGTTTGAAGTATACATTTCAACATTAGGGGGACGATCCTAAAATATTATCCAAAAAAAAATGTATAGAAAACCATAGCAGTACGCGACATAGGAAGACGACACATTTCAAAACTGCGCTCAAAACACATCTCTTTAAACTCTACCACCCTGACTGATTCCCCTCCTCTGACCGATAAAAGATCCTGATGGCTGCCGTCCATGGCTTGCCTTGTACAATTTCTGGGGCGGGTGGGTGAATGTATACCTTTGTTTTTGTTTTTTGGTTACATGCTGTTTTTATTTCATTTATGTATTTTATTTTAGTATCCTGATTATGTCTTTTTGCTAATATTTTTTTATGTAAAGCGCGGTGAGCCCAGACCTAGGCCGGGGTACCGCGCTATATAAGACAACTAATTATTATTATTATTACACTCTACTGGGCTATGACAACATAAATGTTTTTAATGGACCTGTAGATGGCACGTTTAAAACCGCATTTGTGGTGAATCAAGTCAACACCAGATACATGGTAAGACTAGTTGAAGACAAGTAAATGATATCATCAAAACAAAAACAAATATTTGAAAGATTGGATACTTCAGAGATTGTGTATGAGAGATTGGATACGAGAGATTGGATACTTACGTTAGTGGATTCTTAAAAGACCGTATACTATTACGATCCTCATTTACTTGATGATCATAGTATTACTCTACTAACTATTGAATTAACTAACTCTGGCAACTCACTAATTTCCTATAGTTGGTAACATTATTTTTCTTACCCAACTCAGAAGCCATCTAGTTGTCGAGGGTATGAGAATCACTGTTGTTATGTGTAGAGCGTTGTTGTCATGTTTGAAAGGGAAAAGATGTTAGTTAGAGATTTTATGTGCAGCCGTATCGTTTGTGTGAGAGTGTTGTGACGTAATTGTGTAGTGGGAAGTGACGCGTTAGTTTTCGTTGTGGTTAGAGAAGATAGATGGCGGATGTGCTACATTGACTGTTGTGAATTGAAGACTGCTAAGCGTTGTGCTGAGAAATTAAGTATCAAACATAGTTTGGGAATTGCGGTTAATTAAATTAAGAGTTGTGCTGAAAGGATTCGATTGTTGCTTCGACATTAAGTATCGGCCTTGGTGTGTGAATTGTAGTTAAATAAACTTTTGTTTACAACAAACCGGTTGATGTTTGTTGCATTGGTGACTGTTGCTGTGTGATGTACTGCCGAACGGAATGAAGTGAAAGACTTGGCCATACAGAAGAATCGCTTCTTGACACCAGTCAGATTTTAGACACTCAACATTTGTTTAAAGTTAGAACAAAGTGTATTACAATTGCTATAAGAGCAGAATTGGATACAAGTGGATGATTATCGTATTGCAAACTTTAACATAAGCCAAACTGTTTGCACTTACAATGTGAAGCTATAACTTTTCTGTTATTTTAAGGGTTTTGCGAACTGACGTGTTGATACACAATATTATATTAATATGATATGTTACAGTGTTAGAAAACTGAAAGCTGAAATGGTTCGATAATATCTAACTCACCACTGACGGTTTTAATTATTTTGTTTAAAGTTAACATTTATTTTCATTTTCACCCTATCCACGGTAACTAGACCATTTATAAGATAAAATATTGTATTAAATATTTAATAATGCAAACACTACATTACATACTTACGCAATGATTTAATTCGTGTCAAATGTAGTAGAACATCAGAGAATAGACTTAGCCTTGCCTGCCTCTGTACTCTGTATCACGATGTGTCACCTTGGCGACCCTATTTATACATCTGCAGAAAGTTGTAGTTTTTTTTTTCTTGTTTTTTTTTTTTGAAAATTCTTGTATCTAGACCATAGTTTACATATGCAGTTCAGTAGGTATGTCACGCGTGAAATATCCATTGAAGCACAACCGCCTTAGAGAAAGCTTCTGTTTTGCTTTATTTTGACCTCTTAGTGCAGGAAAATATGGAAATCACGTTTAATTTAAAGATGCCTTATCATAACCATCCAATCAGATTTCTTTGTTGCTAGTCTATTTATAGTAAATGTTTTTATGGCTTTTTGATAAATGATCTAACAAGTGTCCCTTTACATAATCTTGTAACATTGATGGACTGAATAGTGCTCCGAACTGTATAATGAAAACATAAGATAGACCCAGAGATCCTTAATGTCTCTCTAGCAACGGCCAATGAAAACTACCGTATTCTCCGCGCAGAAGTGGAAGCAGCAGTCTAAGCACTCCAAATAGGAAAGGCCACAGGAGTGTATAATATCCCTGCCGAGTTTGTGAAACAAGAAGGAGAAACACTAAGTGCCCCTATCAATATTTATAATAAAATATGGTTGACAGGGGAATGGCCCAAATTATGGACCCATTCGCTTATCATCCCTCCACAAGAAAGGTAACCTACAGCTATGCCAAAACTATCGCACTATTATCCTAAAGAGCCACCCACAAAAGGTAATGCTGAGGGCATATTGAACCGACAAACATGTGCCAACGAAACCATTGCTGAAGAACAGGCGGGCTTCATGTAAGGACGTGGAACTGCTGAGCAGATCCCAAACCTCCAAATAATATGTGAGACAGATGCTCAACACCAACAATACTAATACCAGTTGTTGTTTTTTTTTAATTTCAAGAAGGAGTTCGACAGGGTTTGGCATACTGCTTTATGGACCACCATGAGGCAAAACAATATCTACCCAACCCTACCAGAATGATATGCAGCCTCCATGATAAGGCCACCGGTGCAGTCTTCTTCAACAATCACATCGCAGAATGGTCCAAGACCATGGTTGGAATACGACAAGGCCCCTTGCTCTCCCCCACTCAACATTTTTTTAGAGATAAGTATAGAGTTGCACTGGAAGCTCATGTAGGGACAGTCAGCATTGGTGGCAGAACAATCGCCAAATACGCTTTGTGGATGACATAGATGGACTGGCTGGAAACGAAGAAGCTCTGGCCAACTTAGTAAAGTGCCTCGACAAGACTTCATCGTCCTACGGCATGCAAATCAGGGCAGACAATACAAAATTGAGGACGAATAACATCACCGGCATCTCCACTGAAATTAAGGTCGGGGAGGAAAGATTAGAGACAGAAGTAGTCAGTTTCAAGTACATAGGAGCTACAGTCTCGGAAGAAGGCTCCAAGTCCAAAATTGATTTCCAGGATTGCCCAGACCACAACAACACTAAAGAGGAGTAAGAAAATAAGGAATGACCAAAACATAGAACCCAGCCCCAAAATCAGGCTGATGCGTTCATTAGTCCTCTCATGTTTTTTCTATGCTTTTAAGTCCTGGACATTAACAGCAGAACTTGAAAGAAAAATAAAGGCGATAGAGATGAGATGTTTCAGAAACATTCTTGGCATCTGCTATAAAAACCATACCTCTAACGAACAAGTGAAAGAAATGGCAGTATAATGACATCCCGGTGACTGCAAAAAAAGCAAATGGAATGGTATGGCCACGAAACAAGAAAATATGGCCTTGCCAAAAAAGACTGCAGGGCACAACGAGAGGAGGCAGAAAAAGAGGAACTCAGAGTAAAGAGCGGGAATATGACATCAAAGAGTGGACGGGACTAAAACTAGGCGATGCTGTGCGAAGTTCAGAAAACAGAGAGGAATGGAGGAGGATAGCTTTCATGCCATCTATGGCATCCTAATGGTCCAAAGACTATGTGAAATGCTGATGGTGAACATTGAAACAAACATTTTGCTATGACAACATTTAATCAATGGCTGACGAGTGTATTACTATTAAGCTGTTTTTAAAAGCGGGCCTCGAAATGTTTAGAGAGTTTAAAAATATGTTTTAAAAATAATTTACATCAAGAAAATTCAAATCCATATACGATATTAAATTTGCATTTATTTTAAAACCTTGTTACCCGTTAACTTATTACGGGTACCCCATGGGACCACAGGGTTAAAACCCCTGTTCTAAAATGATGTTTTCATTTGCCAAATGGAGCTGGATGTCGCTTTAAAAATTTTTTAAAGAATTTATATTTTCCAGTGGTTCTAAAACAATTGCAGGTCAGACCACTCTGGGCTATGAACTCACAGTGAACTCAATCTGCTTTGCCATGTTTTAAAGAACATTTTGCCAAGTCCTCTTCTAAAGATTTTTCAGCAGTAAAATGTAAATTCTTATAATATACTAGGGTATTTAATCAATATACAAGGAAACGTTTTTATTTTAAATAATTTCGATAACAAGCTTATCAATTTGATCAAATGAATTTCCAGCTCTTTTGACATATCAAATGTCTACAATCATCAATTATTCTTAGGTAATTTATTGACTTTTAATTTTAGCAAATTGAGACCAAATTGTTATGGTATTAGCGAAATGTGACCATATTAAGGCTACCTTATTAAAATCATTTTTTAATAGTTAATAAAGGAACTTCTCACGTACAAAAATTGTTTAGTTCAACTGACCTCGTTCAAGATCGGTATACCCCCCATCTTAATGAGCTGCCGTCTTTATAGTCAATGTGCTGGTCTGGATTGATGTAAGTAAAGGGATGATGGTTTCACTTTATTGTTTCAATTTAACTAGGCCAGTATTTATTAGCGATGGGTATTAACATTTACTTCGTAGTTCACTTCTTTGTTAGAGACAATATATATATATATATATATATCGTGTCTCACAATCCTACTGTCTCGGACACAATCCTGCTGTCTCATCACAATTCTACTGTCTCATACAATCCTACTGTCTCACACAATACTAATGTCTCACACATTACTAATGTCTCACACAATCCTACTGTCAAAAACGATCCCACTTTATCACATATTCCTACTGCCTGACACAATCCTAATGTCTCATACAATTTAAAACGGACTGAATTGTATTAATTACAAACAAACACAGCGTGGACCAAGCTTTCTACTCATTCTTTGATCTCTGTTCATCCGATTCTTGTCCCATAAACTCATTACAATACAGTATTATGGTGTCATATTTGTTCACACTGGCCACCGTAGTCATTCTGTTGTGACACTTTAGTACCCCAGCTCTAATCTTGATTGTTCTGACCGGAAGACTTACCTGGCAGTAGTTAACTCGCAAGTGCTCACCTATCTATTTCATGTAACTTAGACCCGTTTCACATTTTTACACTTACTAAATAGCAACACGTGAAGTTAATTTTGGTTTGTCTATTCATCTTTCCCAATCCCACTAGTAATTTTACGCGATAGCCCGCGACGCCCCCTCCCCCCCCCCATTTTTTTAACAGGCAACAGAAAGAAGGGTAAGATAAGATAAAATTCTTTTATTGATCGAAATAAATGGAAATGTTTTTTTAATGCATCATACATTTTCAGCACATTTATAAATCAATGTGAACACAAGACATTTATAATAAATTATCTCAAACAGCCATTCAGTGAGTTCTCTTAGCAAAATCGGGAACTTATTAGTTCTCATTCAAATGTGTGACTTAAGAGGAAGCACACCGGTAAATTCGTACATATTGGGGAACAAAATAATTGAGAAGATTGTATCCGATTTGGTAACCCAGGTCCCCAAATATTTGCTCTGCTGATGTGCGTATAATAAATTACTGCTTAATGTCAACCATTCGACTACTTAGCTTTTGTGATCTACCCTCTCCCATTCTAAATATTTTCATGTGCTGTAATGCGATTTCCGAACCAAATTGAATTAAAGAATGTTCTTTGAAATATCTTCCACTTAATTTTTTTTTAAATTTAAAAAAAAATATCTTAAGAATTTCTCAAGCTCTGGCAAGCCATTTAAAATCAGTTCAGGGGCCGCATGAGGGCCGCGAGCCGCGGGTTCAACTTCACTGTTTTTTAACTAATACTCTTGCTAGAAACTTACCTTAAAGTCGTAACAAAAGTTATTACTAGTCTATCAACAAAAAGATCTCATTAGATGGTAATGTTATAACAGTTATAAAATTAGTATGCTTTCTATATGTTCTTACTTTACGAGATCAAAATAAAACACAAGAGTTGAGCCTTTTCTGCTGTGGTTATGCTCCAGTGAAGATTTCACACGTGACATTCCTACTGAAATAATATTTAAACTATGGTCTAGATACAAGAATTTTCAAGAAAATTAAAATTTTCTGAAATTTATAAATAGGATCGTCAAGATGACATTGTGATACAGAGTACAGTGGCAGGTAAGCCTTTTTAAGGTGACATTTGATATAGAGTACAGTGGCAGGTAAGCCTAATTAAGTTTACATGTGATACAGATATCATTGGCAGGTTAGCCTAATTAAGGTGATGTCGTGATATAGTGTACAGTGGCAGGTAAGCCTAATTAAGTTTAGATATGATACAGATATCATTGGCAGGTTAGCCTAATTAAGGTGATGTCGTGATATAGTGTACAGTGGCAGGTAAGCCTAATTAAGTTTAGATATGATACAGATATCATTGGCAGGTTAGCCTAATTAAGGTGATGTCGTGATATAGTGTACAGTGGCAGGTAAGCCTAACTAAGTTTAGATATGATACAGATATCATTGGCAGGTTAGCCTAATTAAGGTGATGTCGTGATATAGTGTACAGTGGCAGGTAAGCCTAATTAAGTTTAGATATGATACAGATATCATTGGCAGGTTAGCCTAATTAAGGTGATGTCGTGATATAGAGTACAGTGGCAGGTAAGCCTAATTAAGTTTAGATATGATACAGATATCATTGGCAGGTTAGCCTAATTAAGGTGATGTC